AAATTATGGTCTTGAGATTTACTTATTTGCGTTATAATTTCAGTTATCGGGCAACCTTGCAAGCCAAACGACTTGGAATTAAAACTAGACGCCAAAAAATGGTATGTGTATTGCCATATGTACTCTCTAAAATAGCCATTTTTTTAAAAGTGCGCAGACAACCATCGTTGCTCTGTTCTAAGTCAGCGCTAAGCAATAGTAGCCTGTCATGGGCATTGGTAGAGGGGAATCCGTGTAGGAGAAACCCCACCTAGTGGGTTGTACATAATACCAAAAAGTGTCAGTGCACAATCTCGCACACGAGCTATTTTTTTATTCGTTTCCTGGCGAATTTACTGCGCCTTTTCGTTGGCATCTCCCTTTTAATGGTGAAATTCCCTCAATCCCAGCCACTATTTTTGGTTATGTAGATATTGGCACGGCTAGTGTTTTACTACCAACTTCCCAATTGGGAGTTTGGGTGAATAAACTAACCTTTTATCGATCGTTTGGAAAATACCTGCTTTGCAGGTGAATTTAAACGCTATATTTTACGAGTTTGTGTTCCTTTTCTTGGTAATTTCCGTTCAATTAAACAGGCGATGATATTGTGGAGGCTCTAGATCTTGTTCAACACCTGAGAATTGTATTGAAACGGTGTTCTTCAGTTTAGCTTGAGGTAAAAGAGGTCGCCTGTAATGCATCCTACTGAAATTATTCTTTATTTACCACTTTTAACTTAAACTGTAACATTAATTTTCCCCTCTGCATTCACACAGGACCTCTTTTATCCTGGTCACCCTGTATTATTAGATAAAGTAATTAAGTGGTGTTGATTAATTGTGCTGTTTGTTCACGTCGGCACTGTTGTAGTGTGGGACAGATCATAAATGACCAAATAGAAATCCTGCTATATAACCCTACTCAGAAATATTTTAGCTATTAATGTTCACACGAATTAGCTAGAGTTATCTGATAACTAATCGCTTTGCCAAATACGTGCTACACGTCTGTTTCCCTTATAGCTGGGCTATAGCTGCAACACGTCTGTTTCCTTTATAGCTGGGCTATAGCTTAGCTGAATTATACGTCTGTTTTCTTTATAGCTGGGCTATAGCTTAGCTAGTTCGGGAGTCTAGCTAGATGTAGGAGAATCTGCCAGAGATTTCTCGGGAGTCTAGCTAGATGTTGGAGAATCTGCCATAGAGACTATCTTGCCATCGAGATTTCTGAGTCAGTCAGGCTTTACTAAGGTGTTTAGCTGGTTCTGGGAGTCTAGCTAGATGTAGGAGGATCTCCCATTGAGATTTCTGAGTCAGTCAGGCTTTACTAGCGTAGCGCATAGAGATTTCTGAGTCGGTCAGGCTTTATTAGAGTAGCGATCCGCTACAGTAGTGTTTGAACACCTGGTTCCTATGACAATGATTTTGGCTACCCGCTAGGATATTGTGAGGCTGCATTTTTTCAGACTTGACGTTCGTTCCACCTCTGAGTTGACTCAACCTCTAAACGTCATTATGTCAAATGCGAAAAAAGAGCTCCCCTCTAGGCAAATCATGAACTAGGTATCTTGCTGTCTATTTACACTTTTTTGTTTTCAACACAGCGTGCTTCGATTACCGGTTAGTTACTAGTGCTCTTAAGAGGAATATGCAAATTTCAATTCGAGAAAAGGAAGTATAGTCGGTTACTACTGCTGTACATTTATTCCACTTGTGGGAATAAGGCGTTGAAATATTCGTTAAAGACAGTCCTTTTCAGCATATTTTTCAATTCCTTCTGACATTAGTGTAATATTTTTTTAGTGTTTCTCCCTTCTGTTTTGGATTTCAGTATTTATCTCTTAACCTTATGTACGGGTCGCAATATCAAACATTCTACTCATATTTTTGTAAGTAGACACGTGCGCTAGTTTCCGCTTGTTCCTTTCGTTTGTTACTCTTGCAACACATCTCTTTTAAACGCTATTTCAGAAAGCCATTATCCGTCAATTGCTTGACGAGGCAAAAGAAGATGAACGCAAAGAGCAGGAAGAACAAATGAGTGGCCCTACAAGTCCCACTCCCCTTGATCAATCAATTCATTCTTTCCAACCACAAGAAACGTGCACTTGCTTCGGCACTGAAAGGCGCAGAAAACGACGGCGAATGGGTAAACTACTCACTTCTTCACTTAAGTAGTATATCTTACTGACTGATTTAATAGTTTGGTATTGCCATCGTAACAGTTCTGGAGATGCTTAAAGAGGTCGCAGAAGCTTATAAAAATAGTTCCGAATCGGACTCAATGTCTTTAAGCTCAGTTGCCTCTGCTACCTCTCCTCCTACAAAAAAGCCAAATGAATCTCTGCGAAGAAAATTGTTCAAAAAACGTCTGGGTATCTCGCCACCCAATTCTCCACCACAGTTTACCCCTACGCCCCCACGAAGGAGCATTGAACTTGTTGTTGTGGGTGAAATTCGACCTCCTCCAGTTTTATCTTCAAGGCAGAAGACTGTGGAAGGACTCATCATTGGCAGCATGCAACCGAAGCCATCTACTCCCCCAGCAAGGCGACGTGTACTCTCAGACACGGCAAAGGAGAGACCCTTGTCAGTTTGTGACATGCCTCCATTACAATTGGTTGATATGAAGGACTCGTTGTCAGTGGATGATGTGAGGCTGGAGAAGGCGAGAAAGGTGACAGAGTACTTGGCTGGAGATGAGGGCTTGCATCTGCTGCATGAACATAAGGAAATGGCAGGATCTGTCAGTAGGTCTGAACTGCACTGCCAGTGTATTCTTTCTATTTTTTGGTCCGTAATCAAATGCTGTCAGCTTTTTTTCTAGTTTTACTTTGTCGCTTCTCTTTTAATTTGCTTTATCAATTTCTTTTTGCAACAATTTAACCTGATTTTTCTAAAAACGATATCCTCTCAAATCCTATGTCTCAAAACGAAGAGTAGCGCCGCTTATGTAAGAAGCTAAATTTTGGCTTTGAGGCATCCGAAAGAGTTTGATTTTAACTGCACTAAGCATCGATAAATGCTGTTTAAAATTTCGTTTTACTTAATCAGTTTAGACAAAATGCTGGGGCGTAAGTTACAACCTAGTGCGAGATGTCATTGCTTTCAAGGTTATGGTAAAAGCTTCCTTTCTGAAAACGGAATTTTCGTGTCACTCCAGTTTCCATTGAGGTCGCTTTGTCCTTGAAAACTTAAATCTTTGTGATTGTTGAGAACAGCCGGTTTGAGGGCATTTTGTGCAAATTGTAGTATATATTAGTGTTTGCTGCGAATGTTCGTTTTCGATCGTATTTTTCCAACCTCTTTAATTTCAAATTTGCCTGTAGAACAGAGCCCACATCTGAATTCACCTACTTTGAATAAAAAAATGTTTCACTTACACTTCCATTTTTAGATCAACAGCGCCTTTTGTTTTGGCAAGTAAAAACCAAATTTGTCTTCTACTGGCTTCCACTGTCTTCTCTTAGCATTTATAACAAATCTTTTATACTTGTTTCGAAGCTATGGCTATTATGTTCGCCAAATGCTTAATCGTTATAGTGCAGTCATTGATACACTTAGTTGCGTAAACCCGATTCCTGATTGGTTGGGATGTCTATGTCTAGCACAGTTTTGTTGGCTCTCTGTACTGTAGAATTAGTCGTCTAGCTCAATGCGAACGGTTTTGAACATTGTTTTTTCATGATTTCTAATTTGGTTTGAGCATAAATTGTAGAAATATATATATGCCTTCAAGTTGCTACCTTTATTTTATCAGTTATAGTTATCATGGGTAGTTTATAACGGGGACAAATCGCTCTCATTTTTTCCCCCCGAATAGTGTCCTTCGCCGAAGTTCTTCTTCCCAAACGAGCACCAAGAGATCGATTTACTGTCTACAATGAAGCGATTCTCACAGTCTACTCATACGCCTGGTTTCATTTCACTTTTTGCCTAGCCACTCTCTACATGATGGCTCAACTGACCAATTGGTACAAGTACGTCGTCTTTCATCCTACTTCTTTAAACCAAGTAGTATGTAAATACATTTTAATTGGAGGTCCACTTTTCTTCCTTTGCATGTTCGTCTGCTTGTGATTTATTTTTCAAGCAGACAATGAAAATAGTAAAATCGCGTTACTTAACTTCAATGCTAAAACTTGCAATAGTATCTACCTAATTAGGTATTAATGCATTTTACATTTTGGCAGCCCGGAGCTCTCCAGTCATCAAACAGTGATGGAATCGTGGGCCAACATGTGGATGAAACTCTTTTCAGCATTTCTTGCTCTACTTCTCTACCTATGGACTCTCTGTTTTATGCGATTCTGCTTTAATCGAAGCCTCATTCAAACGCCACTCAATCCTGCGACACATTGGGTTGCAAAGGAACCTGAAAGTAATCACAAAGGAAAAGGAAGGTGCCACAAGAAGTTCATAAACCCCTCGCCGGTGTAAAGACGGATTTATCATTTATATAACTAATCGATAAATATATTACCACGTGCACTTTTAGGTATCATTAAATATTCATAATAAATTACTTTTTTTCGTCATTTAGATAAATATATGAATGGAGGTGATTATGGCTTTAATTCAATTTGGATTTTTCTCTTCGATGTGGGGATTGCTCAAATAAAGATGAGAAGGTTTTTGATATCTAAAAGAGAGAGTAATAGAGCCTGCAATTCATGATCCTACCATATCTGTAGGAAAACATGGTCCAAGAAATTCTAGAAATAGAAAATCGTCGCACACAACTTTAAGAAAATCCTCGTAATCTATTCTCCCATCGTGATTAACATCTAATCGCTTAAAGGAATAATCAACAAGATCTCGAATTATGTCGTCGATGTCTTCATTGTTTGTCTCCTAGGAAGATTTCTCGTACAAAAATTAACTTACGCAAGACAAGCTCAGGTTTATTAATTTATTGATTTCATCCCTTGAAATTAAACCATCTTCGTTTAGATCATAAACGGAGAAGGCAACTTTTAAAATGAGGGAAATTAATATATGCTTCTTACAACGAGTCTTCTCCTTTATATCTCCTCGAAGAAAGACTTCTAATCCACTAACCCATTCCTCCATTGAGACTACGCCATCGCTATTTTTATTAAAAGTATAAAAGACTAATAATTAATCATGGAGAATATGACTACTTCGATCAAGTATAAAATCGTCTGTTAGGTTAAATATTGTGAAGAATGTGTGCTTAAAAAGATTTCTATCCATCTTCTGCTCTTTGGATTTACTAACAATGTCGACATATATTCCAAGCAGTTTCTCAATTTCTGACTTTAAAACTGCAAAAGCAATTATATTTATGTGATGTTTTTACATTTCGTCTTGCCAGTAAGATTTTCCAAGGCCTTAATTGTTCGCTTTCTGATAGCAACTTTTGACATATCCGACTTAATATAAGCGGTATTTTCTCAAGGGTGCGATTACAAGGATGATATGTCATAGAAGTAGAATATATCGTTATATATGTGTAAATATATGCCTATATAATAACTTCTTTTAACTTTTCCATTTTTGTGAAAACTAGGGTTTATCGAATATTCAATCGTATGATAACTTTTTGGGCGCTAAGGCTGTCAGATTTTAATATTAAAGGCAAAACCTGCTCTTTTAATTTGTTTATTCATTATTTTATGATAAAATAGTAAATTTAAGGCATTAGCTAGCTAAATGAGGCATAGAGCTAAGCCACTATCTGTAAAATCTTCAACTCATAAAATGAATCACGTAAAAGGCTATATGTTTAGCAAGTAGCGATTTAATTTTAGACGAAAAAGGTGAGAAAATTCTGAAATTATTGAGATTTATCAAAGGCTTGGATCGATTTCGGTAAGTTCCATGGAAATTTGGATGCGGAATTCCACTTCCATTCAGAGCACTACAACGTCTACCACTGTTAGCATTTCGAGAAATAGATATCTGAATGAATACTATACAGTTAAACATGATGGTATAATGAAGTTAAATTTAAATGCCTTTGTCATTATTTGATATCGGCATGTCAACCAAAATTATTCAAAGAATGAGAAAAATGTCTGATCTACATGGCTTAAAAATAAACCCAGTGTGTAATCAATATTAATTTCTGTAGAAAATCACCTATATTGAACAGGAGCCTTTCTTGAAGTCTCATTCTTTTCTTTTCCATGATTGAATACGGGATTATCTATAATTATTGAAACAAAATTTATAAGTAACAATCCGTTATTCTTATTTATTGAACTTAATATTACACGTAAATTAATTTATTTATTTCAAATGGCAAGTGTTTTGATATCAATCGTAAGTCCTTTAGTTGATTTCGGGCTTCACAGAGGGGAGGATCATCAAAGTGAGAAACATTCAAGAATAGGAACAAAAGAGTGATTCACTGATTTTATCGAGACTGACAAACACAAAGGCAAGGAAAAGACAAGATGAGTGTTGAGGAAGTGTTCGAATATAACAAACAGTGGTGTCATGTTAGCTTGAAGTGAGAAGTCAACAGCTGGTTTACAGAATTTTTTTACGTATGTGTATACATTGCACATGATGTACCACTTGAAGTTAAGTCTATTGAACACCCGACGTAAAATAATTAATAATATGAAGAAGATGATGAATCAACAGTTTCATATCCGAATATTTCAACTAGAAATTACGATAAAGCATACGAGTGGAATATTTTTCTAAGTGTTCGAAAGCGACATAATATTGAAATTCTAAAGCTTCATCATGGCTAACAAGAAAAACTTGGCTGAAGCTTACCTATCAATTGTAATCTCTATCAATTATTCTAACCGTAAATTAATTGATATTATATAACTGAAAGTATTCATTAAAATTGATGGCATAGAAAATTTTGTTTATAACGCATATAAAAAGGCAGCGCAGGACAAACGTGATTTATTACTTCTTTATTTGTGCGTAGTTAGTTGGACATTTATCTCTTGCTTTAACGTTATTTTTATAAACATATCACTAAGTGGTTTGTTGTATTTAACTTTTTTCTTTTCTCTGTCTAGTGTGATGAATTTTATCTTGATATGATAGAATATTGTTCTAAGAGAATCCTTACAGTTGCTCTAATAACACTCGTTATGCAAGTTTACATTCTGAATATTAAATTATTTTTTCATTTATTACGAATAGATATTTATTTTCTAATTTTCTTTAGTGTCTCTTCTATCATATTTTATATCGAAGAGTCAGTTAACACAACCCTTCGTCCTCCACGTCCTTCATTTGATATTGTCATTCCATGTTCAGAAAAACAGTCGTTCCATTTCCTCACTTCATGTCAGTGGTGCAACAACATTGATAAAGTAGGTCGGGCTTTTGTTTGTCAACTTTCAGATCTGTATTTAACCTCCTTTTTTAACTTAAGACCATTGACAAGACCTGCAAAGAGACTGGCTATCATGTAAAAATAATTTGCGAAAATGCTGCAGGAGACAAGGCTGAGAAATCCAACCCCCCAGCATGGGTTGCTTGTGATCCTGAAAGTTTTAGAGACCTGAATTCCGAGCGCCGGAATTTTGTACTTTTTGAAATCCTCATTGGAATTTTTGGTGTAATATCCTACATCTTCGTGCGACGGCAGCATAAACGGTTAGATCAACGTCTTGTTGACCGGGTTAATCGACAGATTTTGGCGTCGACGTGATTTTAAATATATTTGCTATTATTTTTGAAATTGACTGCATTTACTCTTATTGGCGATTAGTAGAGGCAACCAGCTTTCAATATTTTTGGCAGAATGTGCTCGAGAGTGTTTTTGTTTTTTATGGTTGTGGGTTGCCTTTGTTCGGTAATTTGCCTTCCCTCTGGATTTATCACAGGAGTTTTAACTCGGCGTTTTTGGAAGATTTATAAGGCTTTTTCCATTAGCATTTGGCACTTGAAGTCGGTCAATTTGAAATTTTTCATGTAAACAAAGTTTTCACAATGTAAGGGGATATCGGTATCACAATGGATACACCTTAATAAAAGTAAGAATTTGATGCCTTATGTGAAGTATTCATTTATGGGATTCATTGGCATCTATTGACTCGAGGAGCATTAGTTGGTGAAGAGAAGGCTAATGACTTTGTATTTCGCTCGCGCGAAAGTTCACAAACGTGTTGCTATACATGCTAAACTCTTTGCCATCAGGGTATCCCATTAGCACGGATAGCTAGTTGTTCTTCAACCGCTAATTATAACAATTGCCACAGTTAGGCCAAAAATAAGGAAGCGCACTGCTCTTGAAACAGGTTCGGCATATCTTTTATGTCAAAGATGGGTTCACGCAGAAAAATTTGAGCCTCTAATGTAGCATTTAACGGTACGAAAATGTCCCCAATATTCATCCATAAATAAGAAAATAGGACTCGATAAATGAAATCGGGATAGTATAATACATTTAGGTTTGAAAATATGTCTTATATTTCATACGAATAGTATAAATCCAGATTACATTGGTTGCGCTGAGGATCCTAATTTGCTCATATTTTTCGCATCAGAACAAGTTTGGACCATGGGCAATCGACGAATGAAAAGGAAATGAAGCAATAATTTAAGCAACTTTCCTTTCCAATTTGTTAAAAGAATCACGATAGCCTGAAATAATTGTTCGTCTTAATTGTGAGTAAACATTATCTAACTTTCCAAAAACTACAACCAAGGAGTCTGAATAACCTCAGATAATGGATCAAAATAAAACATATCAAATAATCACTTTGTAAGCCATATAAAATCAGGGTATATCACTTTATTCCAGCAAGGGACTTCCAGGTATTCAATTGTTTGTGAAATTTGAAGTGCTTAAAACTTTGACTTATTTCTAATATAAGTATTCATGGCAACGCCTTCCTCTCGGAGTACTACTGCTGGAAGAGTTACGATGATCAGAGGTTATCTTTTAACGGCAAATCATCATTCCCGGTGGGTTTGTTTAAATCAGTCGATCAAAGCTTTACTTTTTAAACCGCATCCTTGAATCTCGTTCACAAGGGTGCAATCTGAAGTCTTGAGTAGGATTTTACTTTTTGAATATTTGTTCTCCATTATTGATGTAACTAAACACAAGTCCGAATGTTCAGTCTTACGCAAGATGATTACTATGCCTTAATTTTATCATTTCTATTTTGCCTTTTCGTGTATTCTACTGGACAGTTTTTGAAGAAGATTATTGTATTTGTAAGTTTCCTTTATATTTCATTACTTTATCTTCCAGATATTTGAAAATGAGTCAGCTAGTGAAGTAAATCAAAATGACACTCTGAGTCTTAATGATTCGATCTATTTTGCCTTTCATGACGGAATCGCTTCTTTTCAAGCTTGTGCTTGCAGCCTAGAGAACGCCGTCATTCGATTTACTCTCGGAAATACATCAAATCTAGCTGCCATCGCTATTCATGGTTTGCTAATGCTAAAATGTGCTTGGAAAGATGCTTACGGCTCTACTTGTAATGCATTCACTAGGTGAGTTATGTATAAAATACCTTTACTTTAATCACTAATGGTCCTTAACAGATTTGTTGCTATTTTCTTGAAAAATTTATATTCTAAATCTAGTAAATTTTATGACATAATAATATTTATTGGTTACGCGCCATATAACTGCCGATATTTTCATTTTTTGTTAATGCCTTTAAAGTGGGGCTTTGTCTTCTTGTAATTCCTTCGATCTCTATTCATATAGAGATCAGTGGCCACTCGACCTCTTTATGTTCATACTTACTTTTGTTCAATAAACTAATTTTAGATTGGCTTAACAATTAATATTGCTATTTATTATACGATCTAAATCTTACAAGCATATATGCACAAATATTGACACTTGTTATTTACAAGCTTTGTGTTTGATTTCTTGTGTGCTTAATTGTTTGATTGTAATTTTTTTCTTAAATTTGCCAGTCTGTGCTACGCTATAGCTTTTTTAATCTCATTTAGACAATTTTGCTGATTAATATTTCCGAACTCCGTGAAATTTATTTTCTTTGTTTACCGAACTTATCACATCATTTGTTAGAATCTCCCTTCTTCAAATATAACGTACTTAGTTGTTAAATGTTTTCGCGTTACTTTTCCAGTGGTTTTAATGTTAATTTTGATAATTTACCTTGAGAATTTCACCTGGTTTAAGGATAAAAATGTGCAATTACTGTACATGTCGTTTTCCAAAATTGTATTCATTTTTTGATCGACCTTTTATTTTGTTTTGAAGTGAAGCGTTACTCTCTCTCTCTCTCCCTAGCATTATAAAGTTTTGTCCTTGCCACCACTGGGACACAGTCGTCCCGACGTCAATGTCGTGCTTGGAATGCTTGAGATTCTACTGTAATCTCAAAACTCCTACCAAACCTTTCATTCGTACTTTAAGTACTTAATCTTGCGGTAAAGTCGAATTCCCATTAAGGAACCATCGTGTGCCCTCAAGTGCTTTACCTTAGTTAGTGGGATAGACCACTTAAGTACTCCTTGAGTGAGCCCTGCTAGAGTTTAGTTGACCCTATCGTTGATAATTGAGACGATTTCATTAGTTTGCACTATTCTTTCTCCACGAAGTCCTTTTTCTTCTAAGCACACACACACACACACCTGCCATTTTCCATTTGTATGGTGCGTGATAGACTTACCTCCACGTGGTGCACCCTGGACAACGTATCTAAGCACGGCAAAAAAGTCTATCACTCGGCATTCAATTTGACTTCGATTTATTATGATTAGCTTGAGACAGGGCTATAGGAAAAATCGCCCTCGTCAGGGCGAATCACAACGTCTTCAGATCCTCCAGTAGAATGCTGGAGGGATGTCACAGGACAAAAAGATCCAAGTACAGAAAATCCTACAAACCTATGATGTAGACATTTTCACAATTATGGAAGCGAACCTTTCGGATGACAAACTGAAATACTACTAATTCCCAGGTTACTCCCTGTACAATCTACCTAAATACCGGCAAGTTGCAAGTGGAATTCTAACTGGAGTAAAAGAAGGCCTCACCTCACACTACCATCTAATCAAGAGTATGGGCTCGACACAAGACATATGTGAAATTATCAGATTAAGTGTTTGGAAATGTCAAAACCACTTCAAGGTATATGCAGTCTATAATCCACCCCAGAATTGTCCCAACTTTGACTTTCTGAACATCTCACACAAAACTATAGTATCAGGAGACTTCAACGCCCGTTCCACCAGATGGGGCTACAAGGATACAAACATAGCTGGAAAGGAAATTAAAGACATGCTAAACGGCAACCCCCTGGAACTTATTTACAGCAATGAGGATTCGGCTACATATTTGCACTACAATGGAACCAGAACAACTCCTGACTTACTTTTGCCTTCAAGTTACATCAGCGAGCATACACGCTGCAAAATAATTGACGATCCTGGTTCTAGTCACAAACCAGTCATTGCTAGTATTACCATCGGCGGCATAAGCATGACAAGGAAAGTGCCAACTAAGCTATCATGGAACTTCAAGAAGGCTGACTGGTCTAGATTCACTAACCTTTTAGAGAATGAACTTCACACAAGTTCCCTCAACTTCAACCAAGATCCTGACAAACTTTGCACTGATATCACGAATATTATGATCGGATGTGCAAAGAAAACTATGCCCTGAGGCTAGACTAAACACCATCGAGTGTTTGGTCTAAACACCTTGAGGAACTGAAAAGAAAGAGGGACGCCCTTCGCAACACTGCTGATCAGACTGGAAGAACGGAAGACGTACAGGCCTGGAGACGGTAGTCAGCTGTCCTAAGGGAAGCCATCTTACAAGTCAAACGGACTTCCTTCGACAAGTTCATCTCAAATATCAACTATCAAAGTGATAGCCAACGCACTTTCAAATTCATGAGTAACCTCCAAGAAAGAACCAATACGCTTAAGCAACAAACTGCTTACCACCGACTCCGAAATAGCTAACTGCTTTGCGAGAAAAACCCATTTGTCAGAAAATCTTCAAGAGATTTAAAGATACAAGTAAGACAGTTGGGTGAAATTAAGGAAGACATAGCAACACCAAATAATGTACTTACTGAACCATTCAGACCATGCGAACTTAATGCTGCGATAAAACAGCTAAAGTGCAAGAAGTCTCCTGGTGAAGACGGTATTCATCCAGAATTTCTAATTAGAATGGGACCAACAGCCAAGGAAACCATGCTGACGCTTTTCAACAAAATCTGGGAGACTAGTCTCGTACCAAACCAATGGAAAGTTGCCACAATAATACCAGTACTGATAGGGCAAAGACCCTAGCAACTTTGACAACTATAAGCCTATCTCCGTCGCAAGCGTGCTGGCTAAACTTATGGGAAGAATGGTTAACAGGAGGCACATGCTGGCTAAACTTATGGGAAGAATGGTTAACAGGAGGCTCACCTGGTTCCTTGATACCAACAGTGTTTTTTAGGAGTGAACAAGCAGGTTTCAGGTAGCAAAGATCAACGAACCAGCAAGCGGCCACTTTCTCCCAACACATCAAAGATGCCCATGATGCAAGAAATACCCTTACGGCTGTTATCGTCGATTTCAAATCAGCATATGACTTAGTAATGAAAGAGAAGCTAATTCTAAAATTGGCAAAGATTGGTATTAAGCATAATATGCTAAACTGGATAAAAGCATTCATTGGACAAAGATCGCGTAAAGTCAGATATGGAAATG